TGAACCTGAACTTGACTTAAAAGTTCAATATTGAACCTGAACTGAACTTTTTTTAAAAAAAAGTTCAAGTTCAAGTTCAGTTCAATTTTGAGCTGAACTTAAACTTGGCCAAAAGTTCAGTTCAGTTCAGTTCATAGGAACACTAGTGGGGTTAATTAATGTAGGCCTTTGCCAGGATGGTGGTAATTGTGGCTAAGTGGTTTTGTATGTATCGGTAAAACATTTTTGAGTTCCATCTTCCAATTTTTTGTATTAGGACTAACTGGACACCTTGTGATACCAGCTCGGTAGTGTCACCAGCCCGAAAACTGTGACCTGCCATGTCTTTGTTTGGGAGAAAGCTCTTCAGTTTTGTAATGAACCACATTCTTTTCATCCAGAAACCATTGAGTTTGGCAAAAAGTAGTATGCAGTTTTTAGCATAGTATGGTTGTGATCATAGGTATATGTACTCTTTAAGAATACACACTGGACATAGAATATCATTGGTTGGGTTGATGATTAACAATGTTCTGTATGCTGATTTGTGATTTTTTATTCTTACCAGTTGTATTATGGCAAACGTGATGCTTTTTGTTGATTCAAAAGACAGAGCATTGAGTATCGGAATCTTGATTTCATCGCCCAGTTGTTCGGTAGAAGTTCTCCTAGCCAGGCTAGACTATAAAATGTGGTAAGTGTGATTGCCCAGAAGAGGAGATCTAATAGGTCGCTCATGTTGATTTTTGATTTGATGTGTGAGAGATGTTGTTTGGTGATATGTGTTTTTTGCTTTATTGGCGTATGGATGTGGGTTGCTTCGATAGTTTTCAGAATCTGCATTACTAACGGGTCGATTCATATATGTATCCAATCATAGTGGTTTCTTGTATGATGAAATTTTAAGGCTGAGAGGTAGGTCAGAATTGCCGGTAGGGATACTTTTTTGTGTAAGAACGTGATATACTTGATAGGAGATTCTTTTGCAATGGGCCACACAGTTTTGTCCTTATTGAGCCATTTATTTTCTGTGGCCAATAATTCATATCTTTTGATAACTGACTCATATGATTTCTTGATGGGTGTTGAAATGCTGAGTATTGAGGTAGCTTCTTTGTCTAACATGGTATTATTGTCAAATAGAGTCATTCTGTGAATGCTATCGATTGGAAAATTTGTTTCAGGGGGTGTGAAATTGGCAATGTCTATTGTTTGAGAGAGAGAATAAAACAGATTAAGTTGGAGAATATTACAGATATGTTTGGTTGGAGATAGCAGGATAAGAGATTGTTAAAAATAAACTCTCTGTGTCTGTTATGAGAGAGCAGGTCAGCATCAGTATTCTTTGATCCTAGAATGTGTTCAAGCTTTATAGCAAAATTTCTTGATACTTGTGCTTTTATATTTTGGTGATTTTATCGTTCATGTTTAGGTTTTTGCAGTACCCTGAATAGTACGCTTTGGCATTAGCTGAGTTATCTGTCCATATGATTAGTTTCTTTCTTTCTCATATTGGTGCAAATATGCGTACTGCGATCAGGGTGGTTAGGAGCTTTCGCATTTGAATGCCTATTCGTATAAGGTCTATTGATTTATCTCAGTTAAAGGCTTAAAGTAATCGTCATATACAGCTTTGCTATCTATGTTTGAGGTGTCTGTGTATAAGTTGCAGGTGTGAGGTTGGTACCAGCCGTGGTTCTAAAATAATTAGGTGCCTGACCATAATTGTAACGTGGTTATCCACTATTGGATATCAGATTTCATGGGTTCTGTCATTCTTATATGGTGTTTGGAATTGCTAGGTATATCTTGAGCCCTTATTAAGCATTGTACGAATGGTCATCCTTGCAAGATTATCTGGCATGCCCAAACAAGAGAGCCTACTAATGATTGCAGTTCTTTCTGGAAACACTATTTCTTGGATAGTAATTGGCTTAGTGAGAGTATTAGCTTGTCTTGTTTTTGTACTGGTATAGAGGCCATTCTTGTAACTGTGTCTAGCATTATTTTTAAGAAGGTGACCATTGTGCAGGGTCTTTCCAACTTTGTATATTTGTATGGTATGTTGATAGTATTGAGGATGCATATGAATTGGCTTAGCTCATGGAAGCCGTCTGAGAGAGTGATGATGAAAAAATCATCTTTATAATAGATTATAGCCGGAATACCCAACTAGGAAGTGATCCAAGCGATGGTATCAGCAAATCAGCAGAATATACCACCAGAGGCCCGGTTTCTGAAGGTGAGAACCTTATCAAAATACAATTCATTCTCAAGCTGGATGCCTTGCAATATCTGGTTTATAGTGTATACAGGGAGGATGCGATATGCATCTTTAATGTCTATTTTTGATAGTGTGCAGCCTTTACCGAAATAGTTGATCTATCAGATCGCATAAGTTACTGTTTCGTATTTGTTGCGAACTCCAATTTGTCATTCTGTCGTTCACACTGTTGTCTGGTGCAGATTAGAGGTGAGAGATAACTCAATATGCTTTGGAATTTGTATCTTTTTTCTCTACTAGTCTACATGGGTTTATTTGAAAAAAGTCGCAGGGGGCTGTTGTTACTGAAGGGGCCACAAATGCACCTGTTTGCCAGTTTATTCTTTATGTATACAAGGAATGCTTGTAGGTCAGTGCTGATTGACTATAGATTTTCCTAGATTATTTTCTGCTAGGGTCTCTATAGTTGAATCTAAAGCTGTTTTTTATGCTATTTATTAAATAGCTAATAAAAGGTCAGTTTGGGTAAGATTTTGTGAGCTGTTAGAAAGCCATGATGTTGATTGGTATCTGTATATTAAAGTGTTGTGGATCCAGTTGTGCTAGTAACTTTGTCTCTGTCTGCATCAGTGGAATATTCTGTAGAGGTTTGAATATTAGGGTCTCGTTTACTGATTGTAGTGATAGTACTCATCTGTCGTAATTGATCGCAAAAGCTTGAATTGTACCATGTGCCTGATTGGGTGCTTGAATTGTGCTCTAGGTAATCCTATAGAAGTAGGTATTGGGATGACCATTGTTAATTATATGAACGATGCTACTGTTGGCAGGCTGCTTTGAGTATATATTTATCCCATATGTTAGTCATTGTTATTATTGTTTTGTATTATATATATATATATATATATATTTTTTTTTTTACATAGCTTTTTTTTTTTTGGTATGCCCGTATGTATAGCTATTTTCTCAGCAATATCCAATTGGTATATAAGTTCTGTGATATTGTTAAGTTTTGTTGCTCATTTGTTGTTAATATATATATATATATATTTATTATTATTATTATTATTTTTATATATATATCAGGATAGCATTTTGTGTATTTGTAGCCAAGTAAGAATATCTTTATGTATGCGATTTTGATTGCAATTCTTTCTTTTCTTTGTTTTTTTTTTAGTATTTTTGCTGTCTGCGTTGTTATAGGTTTCATTTGTTCTCTTTTTTTCTCTCTCTCTTTTTTTTTTTATATATAATTATGAAACTTGCTGTTTAGTAGTTTCTAGATAGTTAGGGAGCCAGAGCGTCTGGTTGCCTGGTATTAGGTTGTTTGTTGTAGAAGCACCTTTGCTCTGGGTGTCCAAGCTTTCTACATACTAGGCATGCATGAACATGGTTGCAGTTGGGGTCTTCGAGGCAAGATCTTTTGTTTCAATTTATGCATATTTGATATCTATTGTGCCAGGTTAGATCGGGTTTTGACGATCTTGAAGTGTAGTGCTCTTGTGGTTTCTTTGTAGTAATCACGTCAAAATTTTCTTCCTCAGCCTCCAGATTTCGGTCCAGTAGTGTTGTGTTACAGTTTGTTGTGAGATGCAATCTTTGATACTCATCATAGGTGAGAATTGCTGCGAACTCTTGTTTTACACAGAGGGTACTTATGTGGTTGGGTATTCATTTAGTTCCTTTTCTCTTATATCGTATATTACTAACAAGTAGTGCTCCTAGGTCTGGTCCGAGTCTGGTCCGGTCTGAGTCTGGTCCAGAATCAGACCAGACTCAGACTCTAAATTTTATTAATTTTAGACTTTAGACCAGACTCAGACTCAATTGTGAGTTCGGGCTGGGTCTGGTCCAAAGTCTGCTAACTAGTCTGAATTCGAATATATTTATATATATTTTTTAGTAGTGTGCTCTATTTTTTATTTTCTCATTAATATTGATTAGTAAACAAATATAATGATTAACAACAAAACTCTTACAATTGGTTATTTATCTCATTTTTACGGTGATCGCAAAAAGATCTATTTACATCATACATTCTATAAATCGAGAATGGTCGCTCCAATTTCGATGATTCTTCATTCAAATGAATACTGCAAACTTATTATCTAATTTAGGATAGCATAAAACATATTAGTTATTCATAAAACATGGCTATTAAATGATAATAAATATTGAAATTTGAGTTGAAATAAGCAATTGCTTTATCAAAATATTACTGATATTTCGTGAACAATTGATCCGTTTTCAATAATTTTTTTTTTAAATGAATACTAAGAACGTTAGCATTCGTTCAAGCCCAAAATTATCAAAAACAAATTAGACTATCAGAGCATCACTGTGATCGATCATTCACTAATATTTTGTATAATGCTTATCCCTGTTCAATGATTTTGAACTTAAAATAAATTATACAATTTTAGTATTCATTTAATCCAAATTTAAGAATAATTGCATATTATTTTTCTAGATCCTTTTTGCGGTCACTATTTCTTCTATTTTCGATGATATAAGGAAAATGCGAAAAAAATTTGTTGCATATTATTTTTTCAGATCCTTTTTGTGGTCACTGTATTTCTCCTCCCATTTTTGATAAAGAAATACGGAAAGATTTTATTGTATATTATTTTTTCTAGATTTTTTTTGTAGTAACTGTATTTCTCTCGTTTTTGATAATATATTATGAAACAAAGTCCTTGCACCCTATAAAAAAATTTTGCATGCAATGTTCTAATAATTTTCTAAAAATATTCAAAAAATTGCTTAGAACTGAGTTGATTTTCTGAACATATACTGATTTTGTACAATGCTTATACCTAATATTGTCAACGCCAAAATTTTTTTTACATCACAGTATAAAAATTGTACTATATCGTATTGCCATTTGGAAAATTGACTCCGTTACAACATTTTTTTGAACAATACCTACAATAACTATATATACTTCTTATAGGGCATAGCCACTGCATCTGTGAAGCCTAATCATTACAAAAATCAAAGCAAAAATGAGGTTCTTGCACTGCTACTTCAGTCTGAAGCCTGACCTTACTTACCAATATACTTTACCCAACAAACCAAATCTACTATCATACCTATAGACAGCGATCGCTCTGGGTTCATACGTTAACCTCAATGAATTTACTAAAAGAAATTTGAAATCATACCTAAAGAACAACAAGAAAGAGCAATTTCTATTATCAGCTGATAGTAATACTATCATAATACGCAAATATAACTAATATCAAAGATTTAATGATATCGCAAATGGCTATTAGTGTTTAGCATCTACATAGATGCCTTGTTAGTAGTGCTCCTACGGACCGGACTTGAACCAGACTTTAGTCAAGTTTGAGTCTGGTCTAATTTTTGGACCAGACTTAGACTTCTATATCCAAACTTTTTAGTCAAGTCTGAGTCTGGTTCGGGTCTGGTCCGAAGTCTGCAGACTAGTCTGAGTCCGAATTTTTTTATACCAGTACAATCATATGAATATGTAATATGAAATGTGAGAGGGATATTTTTTTCAACTTTATCAATATCCACCCCATGTGATTTCACAAATCATTTTAATTGGTTGCACCGAAAAGCATGATTTTGATATATATAGAAAATTGTGTAAGGATTATGAAATTATTGCATGATGATCAAATTATTTAGTAATCAAATATTTATATATGTATACAGTAAATAATTTTATTTTCAGACATTTTACAAACAGTTTATTTCACAAATATCTTATTTTACCGACAAAGTAATCTGGTCATAGTTGTTAGGATTATATTTAAAATTATAGTTATAGCTATTATCATTATTTCTGGAATACCTGAAAATGAACCGAAATATCCTCTGTTTTATTCGGTATATTAACTAGCTCTCCAGAAATTACGTCGCTGTCTTCAGACTTAAAGGTTTGAAGATAGTGATA